TAACACAGAATAGCCAGAATAATATTTGTTGCAGTTTATGAAAGGCTGCCGACGGCTGAAAGCGCATTTTTTGGATGCTTACGATTGGGAAGACGACAAAGACATCGTGGAGAGCAAAAATCTACAAACAGCTTTGTCGTTCCGTGAAGAAGACAAAGTGGTCAAGCAAAGCGGTAAAGGGAAGAAAAAAGCTATGGAAGGTGCTGGCTTCTCGAATAGCACAAATCCTGTTTGCATCAAAACGCATGCCATGCAGTGGATTTAGTGGCTTCCGTGTGTTTTCAACGGCTACCTAAAAATGAGCACTGATGTTTCAGAGTGAGCGTATGTTCTCACTCGGACGTTGTGGTGGATAGCACACACTAACTGCTATGTGTTTTTATGCAGATTGCAAAAACGAACTGCAAAAACGCATATTGACAAGAGTCTGTTTGTGTGTTCACACTTTTTGTCACCTACTTTCAGCTCGAGAACCAGAAAAGCTAGAAGGCTGAAACTTTGGGGGAGGTTGGAAGGCTGAAATTTTGGGGTCGCACTCCCACCCTATGTGTCACCCTCCCATCTAGCTTCCACCATTCCCGAAAACGCTTTTCAAAAATTTCACATGCCCGCACGTGAGAATCACGTGGAAGCCAGCATCCATTTTGAGGACATGGGCCTGTATGTATGTATAAGTTGCTAAAGTTTCAACCTTGTAACTTTTGTGGATCTCGAGATGAAAACTCGGCACGGGCGCACATACAAGCACACACGCATACACATAACCTCTCAAAAATATATGTTTTTGCATTGCATAGATGCAAAAAATGCACAAGAACTGTGCGGCTTCAACTTCTATGTCTATGAGCACATTTGATGAAAATGCTTTAGCTAAGGTATTTGAGGATGGTACATGATTGAGTATCAAGTTTCGAAAATTTCAGCTTTCTCGTTTCTCCGCTTTCCGATACAAAAAACGCCAACAAATTTTATTTTATCTTGCCCATCTCCGTGCGTGAGCAGGTCGTTTAAATTTGTGGGGCCGCATTTGATCAAGAAACAAAGTCGTATTATTTCTGTTTCTCTGGCTGCTGACTTGAACTCGGACAGATATCTGAACACACATATATATATATATATATATATGTACGTGTATATATACATGTATATATATACATGTATATATATACATGTATATATATACATGTATATATATA